AAGAAACCAGTGATGCAATAGAGGCTGAATAAAGTGATTTGCTCAGAGCTAAGTGTGATGCATAATATCATAGTACTGGTATGTAAACGTTGCCTAATCATTAAATAAAAATGTCTTCTATTTAATGTTTAAAATGTTGATTTCTGAATTTTGGGTAAGAAAAGGGGGGGGCATCCTATACATGAGGGTGTCTTATAGACAGGAAAAATACAGTACTTCTTAATACAATACGCTAAATATCTTCCAGGTTTATTTGCATGTTCAAAGTGTTTTTGTTTCAAAAATCTCAACTTCTTTTGTAACTCTTCTATCTCTAACAAGCCTAGCTGATTTCTTAATTGTCTAAGTTCAGTTAAAATAAATTTGTCTTGGGGTTTTTTGGGATAATTCTCTAGCATTTGAATTCACTCCAAAGGTCTTTTGCTTTGTGCTGACTTCTCTTTCTTTTTCTTAGACATAATTTCTAAAAATATGTCCTCTCCTATAAGCTTTACTAGCTTTACAGCTTGTGGCTGTAGAGACATCACTTGTATTACTTAGTCTAAAATTATTTTCCAATACTTTTTGTGACTTTGTCAAAATATCTTCTTGTAGCAAAAGATTGTCATTAAGTCTCCGTCTTCTTCCTCCAACCTGTTCTTCCTGCCATAATATCTCCAATAGATTATGGTCAGAAACTTATCTTGGGTTGGATCTTTACAGCTTCTAAATTTATGATTAAAGTTTTAGATACCCAATACATATCAATCCTTGAATATGTCTGATGTCTATCAGAAAAAAAGGGATAATCTCTGGCTCCAGGATTTATAAGTCTCCATGCATCTTCTAACTGCAAAATTTCCATATAAGTAAAATTGTTCCCAGAGCTATAGACCAAAAGTCTTCATGCACATCTGTCAACCTGAGAAGCAATAATCCTCCCAGGAGACGATTTATAACCGTCCTTAGCTAGATGAGTAACAGAACGGAAAATGCTGTTGCAATTCAGACTACCATCTCCCTGGAAGTCCCCCTTCTGTGTTAATCTTGAGAAAAGCCCCATTCCTTTGCTTTGTTATTTTGGTGAATGGTGGGGAGTCCCTCCTTATACAATGTGTAGCACACATGCCGCCAAAGTGTGCATGCATGGCAGTTTACTTCTCACAGACTCAGTATTCAATCTTCTCTGCTTCACCATCATTCAAGTGCCATTGTGCCACTACTGCTGTACTACGAGCACCCAGCAGGCACCTCAGTCAGTCTTGCGCTCAATTAGTAAGTTCTTCCAGGTCTTTTCTACATCTCTCCTCTTTGTCATCATTTTAAGTTTTAAATTAATTTTTCAATTTGAATATTATCAGATATGAATCAGTAGTTGAAAACTGGCACAGTAAAATAGCTGAAACATAATATGGATATTGACCAATCACCAAGAATTTCTTAGGAAACATTTAATACATAAAACAGTGAGAAGGCACAGTTGTCAGTTCTTCAAACAGGTAAAATGAGAAAATAGTGTGATGAACACATGAAGTATGGATTTTTGTATATAGGAGATGAGGACTGTTCTAAACCTGAGCGTGTAGAGTGTGGGGAAATATTAGCCAATGGCTGCATGAAACCTTCTTTATTCTTGCGGCATTTATATACAAGACATGCCAGATATACAAACAAAGAATGTAGTTTTTTTCACCACTTAGAGAAACATAAGAATATGACATTGTTCTTGTCAGCTAAAAAGGATAACAAAAATGCACTTGAAGTCTCCTATCGTATTAGTTATCATTACTAGATACGGTAACAATCATGCTATAGCTGAGAATTCATCTGTGTAAAAGATGCCATTCTACTGTGTTTCCCCAAAAATAAGACCTAGTACTATTTTTGGTACTTGCTAAAATGTAAGACCTAACCCGAAAATAAGACCTAGCTGTGTTTATTCCCAGGGCCAGTGAGGAACATAAAAAGCCTTTTTAAACTTAATTTTTTTAACTTAACTTTAACTTAATGCACTGTGTGGAGGAAACATGCTTATGCAGCTCCACTCCCTCTGCGGGTACATTTGGTATCACTCTGCCTGTGACAGGAGCCGGTGCTATAGAGGAAGCATCAGCTAAGCCTCTATAGCACCGGCTGCTGTCACAGGCAGAGTGATACCAAATGTACAAAATGTACATGTATTCATGCTGTTGTACATGAATAAGTGTGGATTGTTGTACACATTAAAAAAAAAAATAAGACCTACCCCAAAAATAAGACCTAGTGTGTTTTTGTGAGCCAAAAAAAATATAAGACAGTGTCTTATTTTGGGGGAAACACAGTATGTATGCTTGGAGAAGAATATGTAAGGATAATGAACACAATTCCTCTTTGTCTGACTAGGTTGAGGTAAAAGTAATAGATAAAATTAAAAATAGTACATTCTTTGCTATTCAAGTTGACAAAAGCAGATATGTTGCTTATTTTGCTGTTTTGCTTGTTATTGCAAAGTATTTGAAAGGCAATGAAGTTGAAGAAAACCTTTTGCTCTGTCATCCTCTGTCAGAGTGCACAAGAGATGAGGATATATTTAATGTTATTGATTGTTATTGCAAAGAAAAGGGCCTTAATTGGTCTAATTGTTGCTGGCTATGTACTTGTTGGGGGCAACTGTGTGTCAGGTTTTTACTCTAGGTCTTTGTAGTCATGTCATGAAGGTAGCCCCCAATATAATCTGAAGTCACTGTTGCATGTACAGGCAAAGGCACCTCCCTAATGAATTACAAGTCATTCTTGATAAACTGTTAAACTAGTTAATTTTATAAAGTCAAACTCCACAAACTCGAGAATTTTCAAAGCACTGTGTGAAGAGATGATGAGTCTTCGATCTACCCTGCTCCTTCATGCAGAAGTAAGGTGGCTCTCTCATGGTTAAGTTCTTAGCCAACTGTGTGAACTTAGACATGATGTCCAGAAACCATGACATTTTTTGAAGACCATCCTTTCCAACTTGCTTCCACGTTACGCAACAGCTTCAGGCTCTTGCATACTTATCAAATTGACTTCAGGCTCTTGCATACTTATCAAATTCTACAAATAAACAATCTAAATTTGTCACTTCAGAATATTTTGATAATAATATTCAAGGTTTCAGACAAGAGTCAATCTATGATTTAAAAATGAAATTTTTGGAACTCATGTATTGAAAAGGCCAACCTGAAGTATTTGAAAGTACACAATTTTCTATCTGAGAACATGCTACAGCTCTCTCAGGAAATTAGCAATAAAATAACTGAACACTTGAAAGGGCTAAAATTATCTTTCAAGAAGTACTTCTCAAAACACAGAGAAGAGAACTGGATTGCAAATCCCTTTGAAGAAGAAGACTTCTGAGCTGCCAGATTATCAATGAAGAAAAAAGAGAAGTTGATTGAACTTTTTACTGATTTGCAGTTTTAAGGCTGAATTCAAAGAAAAATCCCTTATTAACTTTCAGGCAGACATCAGCAGAGAATATACATGCACTGTCTGTTCACCTTATTATTCCATTGCCTTTTAATCCTACTATTGGCCTATCTTTTACAGTTACAACATATAAATTTGAAATAACAGCAACTATATTATTTACAATCATTTTTTCTAATAGGAAGGGTACAATTTATGGAAATGGGATGCCAAGAGGTTCGCAAGTGAAAATAAGTAGGGAACCACTGCCCTATCATATTATGGGTATAATACACACTGCTGCTACATGGAGACAATAGTGGATTGATAACTAGATCTGTGGAGAAAATAATTGATGACCATTTACAAATAATATCTCCTGAAAGGCAATTACTGCACAGGGGATCTTTCACAATGGCAGTGATGATCAAGCTTATTCTGGTTAGTACTGCACAGACAGCGATGGTAAACATCATAGCATTTGGTGTGATCATATTAAAATGGACTGAAATGGGATATCTTCATTCAGACAAACACAAAGTGTTTTACTCTGGAAATGACAAGCACAGAAGAAACTGAATGGCTCTGAATGGCTTTCATTCACAGAGTCACCATGTTACAGACAACCTAAGAGCATGTAATGCCCACCCAGCTGAAGACCAACTATGAGATGAATCAATTCCATAAAGGAAGCCACAGTCTTGAGTCTGCAATTACTGAGCAGAGCTGTTAAGGACTGGGCACTCTGGAGGGTATTCATTCATAGGGTCACCACAAGTTTGAGATGACTTGATAGCACATAACAACAATAAATCATGTATATAACTGCACCTTTAATTATATGTACAAAGTCTGGCATTTAGAGACCTCCTTAGGATTGTATGAAACCAATCAAGGCCTAAAAGCCTATATGTTCATTCCCTGATCTCACACACAGAGGAAACTGCCTTATATTAATTCAGACTTCAGTCTACTTAGTCCAGTACTGTCAGCACTGACTGACAGCCATGGCTCTCCAGGGTTTCATAGCTTTCCAAGACCACTACCTGGAAAGGCCACTGATTGAATGTGGAACCTTCTGTGTGCAAAGCAGGTGCTCTATGACTAAGACATGCACAAAACTCATTACTTTTTCAAAGCAACAATAATCTTTTATGTGCTCAGAACTTCATATTTTGATAAATCAAGAATGAAAGCCAACATCTATCCTCTTAGTGACCACCCTTACTCAAAATGTAGTTCTTTCATGCCATCTTCTTCTTCTATCAAGTTTGCCTTCATCTTTCCCTGAAACAATGTTTATATGGTTGGTTTCATCATCATCAGACTAAAATGAGCAAGTACTTTCAGATTGATCTTGCAAATTCAACTCTACATTCCTTTGACCTTTCTACTATTCACTGTCTACACTGCTGAAATTCACAGAAGTTCCTGCACAGTGAAGAGCAGAGGAATATTCCTCTTCAAATACTCCATGAGCGGCAGCCACCTCCCCCTCTCAAACATGGAGAAAAGGAAATCTCTCAAACGACAGGAAAATACCTCCACGGCCAGAACACACGTTTTGAAAAGATAGCTGTAAAAAGCCTTCAACTTACAAAATCCCGAACGATGGCGGCTCCAAGTGCAAAGTTCGCTCCTGACGGAGAAAACAGAAAGTAAGCATTCACTCCCTCGGTCTGTACATTCAAGGGGTGGCACCCTGCTACCCTCACCTTGTTCGCCAGCGCTGCATCGGTACACGCCTTCGGCTTATGTCCTATGCTAGCATAGGGTAAGTCTCAATCATTTCAGTGAATCTCTTTTAAGTAGGACTTCCACCGAAGGCAAACCTAAGGCCATTTCTTTCAGGGGAGCAAAGGAGGGAGCGGGAGGTGGAGCACCAGCTTGGCAGTTGGAAGGATTCCAGTTCAATCCCCGTCTTCTCCAGGGAGTACTAGAAAAGAGGCCCCTGCTGAATCCTTGGTCAGTCACAGCTGCCAGTCAGCGTCGACAGTACTGGCCTAGCTGGACCAGCGTTCTGACTCGATATAGGGCAGCTTCTGATGTTCCTCCAGATCGCACCGCCTTAAGGTCAGCAGCAGCGTCTTGGACAAGGGGCCTCAGCCGGCTCAATCCAGATCCTTCCCCAGAGAGGCCAAGGAGCCTCCAGAGATGGGCAAGGGCGTCTCAGCAAAACCCCAAACTTGCCTATGGCGCTCCGTTCCGCTTCTCGCCTGGTCTACCGCCAGCTATAGGAAGGGCAGAAATTGGCTGGCTCCGATTGAATTAATATGCCCCGAGCAACGGGACTAAGCATCCACACGAAGGGCAATTCCGAAATGTCCACCCCATCAGTTACCTAGCAACGTCCTCGGTTCACGGTCGAAGCAGCGTAACATCACGCAGCGTGCGCCTGAAGCGGGAAGGGTGACATTGCAAGTCACGCGACGTAACCAAGCCGCTTCCTCAACCCAAGCGTTTTGAACTTACATGGCCCCAATCGCGACTCGTAGCAGAGCTGATACCTCACAGACCTGATGGAATTATAGAGGACCGTCTAGGTAGATGTCTTTTGAGTTCACGTCTGAAGACTTTTTTTTCCCTTATCGTCTCCTGGATGGGGATTGAGAGCTAGAAGATTTTTAATGTACTGCCATAAGAATCAAGCAGGAGCCAATCTTCCATCAAACCGAAGCGGACAGGTTCGGTCTTATTTGGTGAAGGGTGGGGGAGTTGCAAAAGAAGAAGGGGATGGCAGAGGATGAGGTGGCTGGATGGAATCACTGGTGCGGGGGGCGTGGGGTTGGGTGGACTCCGGGGGATAGTGGAGGACAGGAGAGCCTGGCGTGCTGTGGTCCATGGGGTCGCGGACACGACAACAACGGGGGAGTTGCTGTTTTTAAACCTTAAAAGCAGAATCTAACCATGTCTACTCAGATTCGGTGCGTTTAATGCAGACCTACTCCCTGGTACATGTGTGTAGGATAGCAGTCAAATTAAAACCTGTCAGATTAAATTAGACCCCAGTAAGAATGTATCTGAATTCCTAGCTTCACTGTGGTTGACAGGGCAGGGAAATGTCTTGCTGTTCCTTAAGGAGCGTGATTGAAGGTCTACGTCGCTTCACCTGTTTTGCTTCTTGCCCAACGAGGAGACGAGGAATGCTCCAAGACAGTGACTATTGCAGCTGAGAACAAAAATGTAATCTCCCTAAGCTTTGCTCTGTGTCGCAACATAGGTGGTCCTTCTGAACCATGACTTATGATGATCAAAGTACACTAGCTAAATAACTTCTGCTGTAGTTAATGAAAGTCTTGAACTACAAGCCTTCACAGGCTGAGACAAGCACTTTTGCAGATCATGGCAAACATGCTGCACTACAATTTGGACAGGTTTGTCCAGAAGCTCGGACGTTTTCACAACCTGGAGAAACAATTACAACCCTTATAATGCTTTTGGTGTTTTACATGTCCTTCATGTAGCTGTGAAAACAGCAGATATAAATGAATTACACAGCATCATTTTCTGTACTGAAGTGGGTAGTGCAATCACCACATCTGCCACCTTGCTGTGACTCCATTCAAGAATATATTTGCATGCTAATTACCACACACGTTTGGGAAAATTGCCTGTCCCAGTTTCTACATATCCCCAGTTCAGCAGGCTATGGATGGCAGATGACAAGAGGTACTTATCATGCAGCAGGCAACTAGAGAGGCAACCTGGAAGTCAGCCCTGGAACTATTGTCCGGAGGTGGAAGCAGTCCTGTGTGGCACTTGCATGAATGATGTGTATAGCGACACATTCTACTGTGACATCCAAACTGTTGACAATACTCTGCTTCTGCTCTTGAACTACATAAGGAAGATTGAATTATTTTTATTGATGGAAATATTTTCAACTCTCCTTCCTTCTGTGATGAAATATTTTTGAGAAAACATTATATTTCAGTTTTGCTGTTTTCGTGGAATCCTAGAATAATAGAGCTGTAAGGGGTCAGAAGACCATCAGGTCCAACACCTTGCTCAGTGCAGGACTCCAAGTGAAACCATTCCTCTCAGATGTCTGTCCTGTGTCATCTTGAATGCCTCCAGTATGGGAGAGGTCACAACCTCCCCAGGTAATTGGTTCCATTTACCATTGTTGTGCTGCTCTAGCAGTCAGGAAATTTTTCCTGATGTCTAGCCAGAATTTGGCTTTCTGCAACTTGAGTCTGTTATTCCATGTCTTGCACTCTGGGATGATGGAGAACCTGGCCTTCCTTTTTGTGACAGGTACTTACAGAGTGCTATCATATTGCCTCTGAGTCTTCTCTAGGCTCAACATGCCCAGTTCTTTCAATCTTCAATGGACATGCACATGGTAGGCATGTCATGAGCAGAGCCAGCTGGAGCTGGGGGTCAGACTAGATGGCCTGGGAGACCCCTTCTGACTTGCTCTGTTTCTATGTTTCTAATCTCTCCTCATAGGGGTTTGTTTCCAGTCCCTGCTGGTGCTCTCCTCTGAACCCGTTCCAGCCTATCTGCATCCTTCTTAAACTGTGATGTCCAGAACTGGACACCAGATGAGGCCTAACCAGTGCTGAGCAAAGGGGAACTAGTACTACATATGGTTTGAAAGTGATATTTCTATTTAATGCAGCCTAAAATAGCATTTGCTCTTTTTCAGCCAAATCATATTGTTGAAGTTCTTGTATTGAGGTTTAATGTATGTATTTTTGCTTTGTAGTTTTATATAAGCTTAGCCAAACAGATGACAGTGCTACTTCGCCTCACGAACACCTCAGTTCACAACCAAATCGAGTCGCAAAAAAAAAAATTCATTAAAAAATTGACTCAGGTCACAAACTCCACATTGGATGGCGATCGCGCTGGGGGTGGGAGGGAGATGGCCGAGATCGCACCCGTCTTTCCTGCAGGAGCGCGTCTGTGAGTGCACCTGTCTTTCCTGTAGGAGCGCAACTGCGATCTCGGCCATCGCCCCCCCAGCACAATCGCGCCCGTCTCTCCCCCCCCCCAGCACACCCACGTTCATGCCCATCTCTCCCCCGTGTGCCCGTTTTCGCGCCCGTCTCTTCCCCCCCCCCCGCACACCCGCGATTGCACCCGTCTCTCCCCCGCCCCAGCACGCCGGGATGATGACATGTGTAAGGATGACGGGTGCGATCACAGTTGTGCTTGTGGGGTGGGGAGATGGCCACGATTTTTGTTGTTCTTTGTCACTTTGCTTCACTTTGCTTGATAATTATTTCAAGAACTGTTTATGGACAGCTATGAAAGTTCAGAATAGAACGCATTGTATGAGCTCTATAGGAAGAATGGTTCCTGTAGAAGCAGTTAAGATTCCACTGGTAGCAGAGTGAATTTTCCCAATGTCCCAAAGCTGCAATGGTTTCTTGAAGCCATGCCAGAGGCTTAAGGCCCGATCACTGCTCTTTTCTTCTCTTCTGCACTTCAGGGCATGCATTCTGTTTGCACAGCAGGGACTGCTTGGCAGTCATGGTGAGCCCAACAGCTTCCACTCACAGCTGGCAAACAAGTCTCACTCCTCCCTGGGTGCCTGCTGGGACACTGCCTGGAAGACTAAAAAGGAAGGAGATTGCAGAAGGAAGGAGAGTTTCCATGATGAGCCTGATCATCTGTAAGGCTCATCCACACAAAACACTGGCATGCAGAGATGCTTGTTATGATGTGCGAACACAACTACCATTGTTTCTTATCGTGGTTTTAAAGACCAAATTTACCGCAGTGAAATACCACAGCTGGGTTCAGACAACATGACAGGGGGAAAAAAAACCCCACCGTAACTTGTCATGTAGTCTGAACCTAGCAGTGTTGGGGACTTGAGTTGAGAGACTCACTCCCAAGTACAACTTGAGTTGCATTTGCAGCTTGACTTGGACTCAACTTAGGAGTAACAAGTGAGTGATTCGACTTGACTCAAGATTTCTATTGTTTTTACAACAGAGTTGCTTTTTGACACAAGGGAGGCAGTGGGAAGGAGAGACAGGGGGAAGGGGTTACAATACAGGTAGTCCCTGGGTTACATACTTACAAATGCATAGACTTCCATAAACCCTGTATGAATAACTCTAATGAAAAGCCCTGAATTTCTCTAAGGAACTATGTGATGTGTTTGGCGACACATCATCAGTGGCCAGATAGTTCCTTAAAAATATTTGCAGCTGTTAGCTCCATATTATTGGCGTGAAAGTACCCAAGTCAGTGTGTTTCAGGGCATGTGTGGGACCTGAAGGATGAATCAGAACCATGGCAAAACAATTTCTGGCAAGGGCAGAAGCAGAGGTGTCCAGATGACTTCTCCCTACTCTATTATTCTTTGTTTTAAAGCTTGAAAACCTGTTTTTCCCATAACTTCCTAATCCATGAGGTACCATTAAGCCCAACATTAACTAATGATGACAGAGATGGACCTGGTGCTGGAGAGCCAGGGTTTGATTGTACTGCTGGGGGGGGGGAGGGTTTGCACTGGAGTTGCTTTCTTGAAGTTGGCCTGAAGAGTTGTTTGTCAGCCATTTTCTTTCTTTCTTTCTTTCTTTCTTTCTTTCTTTCTTTCTTTCTTTCTTTCTTTCTTGTCATAAATAAGCCTTGTAGCAGCTGAGGGCCTGGTTACAAGAGCAAATGCTAAAGGAGGACTAGATCAGTATTAACACACCCATATAGATGGGGAAATGCTGCTAAATTGACAGCGGGAGGTGGGGGGGAGGAACCGGACCCTGTCTGTTTAGAATTTGGCAGGCTTCATCTCCTCAACAAGCCTGCAAATATTAGCCAACTCTATAAAAAGAAAGAAAGTTCTGATTATTTTTATCTGTTTTGTTTTAGATTAGTTTTTGTTTGGCACTGTGGCATTTTATTATTCTTATGGTTTATTGCAAATTAGCAGAGCAACTCAGAAATAGGAGTTAACAAACAAAAAGAACAAATAACATAAAGTACTTTAAAGTGTTCAAAATGCTTCATATTCATGATCTTCTTATAATCTAGGCAAGAATGATAGTGAGCTAGCTTAACCCTGTAAGACACTAATTTTGCAAAAATATTCACTCACCTGTTCGTTCGCCTGAGAGGACTGATTCCCAATCCAAATCGTCTCAGGGGAGACAATAACATGGACACCAATGGGTCTTGATTCAAGAGACTTTTATATAGAAACCAGCTGCAGTGGGTCGGAGCTCGGG